GTGAAATGGCCAAACATATTGTGGTAATTAAAGATATTGTTATATGTGAAGATTATAGTCATTTTATAATTTGACAGACCCATGCCTATCTTAAATCCTTTAAGAAACTTTCTAAGATACATTTGTTTCAGCAGCATGGTAACTTACATGAGCTAGTGTGAACAAAGAACATTAAGGATTTTTTAAATAGGAGCCTCATCCAAATGCCCAGATATTTGCAGAAGAGTTGAATGTTTCAGATTAAGGCTTAGAGGAATTGCCAGCTACTTTGAAAAAGATGTTTCAACTCAAATTTATGTATCTGTGAAAATTTATCTACAATTTTGCATCTCAGTGAAAATTCATTGGAATTATTTGTAATCTTTAAATGATGTAGAGGTGACCTTTAAAATAACTAGTTTTAGTGATATTTGTGGTAGAAACTACATTGTGAAACATTAAAATATCTTTTCTGTGAGCTTACATTTATATTGACATTTACCTAAGTATGTTTCATAACAGATGGTATAATCATTTTCAAAAAGGAGAAATTGAGATGATTACTAGTTTATAAAAGTAATATGAATGTTTTGCACTGTATTCAGCTTGTCCTTTGTACCTCAAGGCCTTAGCATCTGATATTCCTTCTGCTTGGGGCATTGAATCAATTTTGGCTCTTTTATTACTCCCATCCTGTTTAACTGCTTTTTCTGGCTAGCTCTGGTTTATGCCACAGGTCTCAGATGATATGTCAGTAATTCAGACTTGACCTTCCCTTCTGAATTATGTCTCTGTTTCTTTCATAGCATCCTGTACTTTTCCTTCATCTCCCCAATCATGATTATGATTATATACTCATTTGTTTCATATTTGTGTAATAACTATTACCTTTACTAAACTGTAATATCCATTGCATAGTTATCTGGCACATAATATATGATAAAAAGGGAATTGTAAGAATCAATGAACAAATATTATTATAATATCCAGATTACTTGCATGATTGTCACAATTTACATCTAACCTTTATAGGATTTTAGCATATTTCATGAAAATAAGTAGACGTACAGAAAATCAAGTTACTCTTGTTCTATGATAGAAATAGAGAAAGTAAGCCGCAATGCTTTTAAAACAGAGTATTTGACCAAGAGACTTTGTTGGTGTTACTTTTTCTCTTTTCTCAATATGATTTATCCTCTAGGAAAGGATCATACAGATTCTTCAGTTCAGAATAACTCCAGCAACACTTACATGGTGACAACACCCTCTCCCATTCTCTGCTGTTACTCCAAATTTTAATTACTGGTCTCAAAACTTCTATCCTGTCTTAATCTGAGCAGACAGACGACCTTGGCACCTACCACTGAATGAAAATGAAGGCTATTATGTGAGAAATACTTCATCTTTCTCCCTTTTACCTCCTACCACCCTCCAAAAAATCCTGCATCCATTCCCTTTCTTTATTCTTTGCCTCTGCTCTTGGGAAAAGAAATTCTTTCTACCTCTGAGTTTAATTTCATTCCTTTCTGTTTTCTCTATGATGTTGCCACATTAGCTATTTCTTCTCTTACCTATGTTTTTAAAATATGTTTTCTTTGTACTTTATCCTTCTAGATGCCCTATGAATATGCTCAAGTTTCTTTCATGTAAAAAAAAAATAAAAGAATTTTAACTCCGCATCTTTTATGATTGCCTTCTTATCTCTTTACTTTCCATATTGACTGTGTCTATGTACTCTCGGTCTCTACATTCTCCTTTCAATTCAGTCTTTTAACCCACTGTCACCTGGCTTCTGCCTTTACCTCTTAGTTGAGATTGCATTAACAAAGGTTACTAATGACTTCTTAATAGCTAAGTATAATGGACATTTTCAGATCTGAATTTAACTGATCTGCTGCATTTAATACTGTTGTCTGTAACATCTTTTCTATTTTTATGAATTTTTCAAAGGTAAGGATACTTGCTTTTTGTAGAAAATTTAAACATTACAGAGTCATAAGGATTCTTACGCTTACCTTGAAACTTTATTCTCCCTGTGTTTCTGTGACTCTTTTCTGCTGCTAGTCCTGCTCTTACCACTCTGGCTAATTTCTTAGCGTATACTTTGTAGGTTTTTCATTCACTGCCAACCCCTTGCATGTTGGTGTTCAGTTGGATCCAGTGCTCAAACTTTTTTTCATTTGAAATTTCCCTGCAAAGTAATTTAGTTTTCTCTCGTGACCCTAGCTATCACTCAGTGGCTGCCAGCTCAGTATCTCTAACTCAGATCACTTTCCAAAGTGCCAATACCCACACATCCTCTTTCTTACATGCATAATTGTTCATAAATCTCATAGACACTTCAAACTTCAGGAGTCCAAAATGGAAACTACAACCATTTCTTGAAGTCTGTGCCATTTTCTCTACTATCTAGTCATTGTCATTGCCTTTGGTCTAATGTGTCGAGTCAGAGCCTTACCCCAGATTCCTTTCTCTTTTTCACCCTTTGTATCCAATTTGTCACTAATTTCAATAGAATCTTCTCAACATATCTCATGTATTTCTCAGTATTATCATTCACAGTGTCGCTGTTTGAGTTCAGACTCTTTCATTTCTTGTCTACATGAAAACTTAAGTGATCTCATTGCCTTCTGTCTTAACCTGACTTCAGTCCATCTTTTACTCTGTGAATAATTGTCCTTAAACACTCAAATATGACCATATCATTCTTCTGCTTAAAATAATGTCTCCCCATTAGCTTCACTGTAAATTCCACAGGAGAGATTCCAACCTCCTTAGCATACCACCCAAAGCCTTTGTTAACTGACCTTTGCCTATCTTTCTAGCTGATGTCAGGACTAGGTCTCAAGGAACTGAAATTAGAATGGATTATTCTATTGTGTCAAGTAACAGAAAGAAGCTGCCAGTTGAATATGAACTGAAGTATTTAAGAGTTTCACATGGTCAAATCAGAGACATGATGATATTTGAGAGTAAAAATGAAAATTACAGAAAGACCTAAAAGGGCTGCCTATAACTAAAGAGGAAGGAGCATAAGATCAAGAACACAGAAAATAAGATGTTGGAAACTATCACCAAGAGTCACTGAAATGTCTATAGCATTGAGCTTATGATGGGTCCATATGCTAGGTTGACTTAAAGGATTAGATTTAAGATGGAGACTGATAGAAAAATCTGTGATATGTCTGATCATCTTTCTCTTCTATATAAAAGACTTTATTGGCTCCCTATCAACTATAGGACAAAATCTAAGATTTTCAAATGACCTAAGAGGGCCTCCATATTTAGGCTTCTTTTTATCTCTGCAAACTTAACCTCCTTCCCCCTGCCCTCTTGATCTTTAGGTTCCATCAACACTAAATATCTGCTGCTCTTTTCTCATGTTTCTTCTGCCAAGATTGTCCTTAATTTCCTCATTTTCTAGGTAAATGCCTGTTCATTCTTTAAGACCCTAAACAGACATCACCACCTCCAGGACACTCCCCCTGAATCTTCCTCACTCCCAGAGTTACCCATCCATCCATCCATGCATTTATTTGTTTGTTTATTATTGAGAAAATATTTTTTGAGTGCTTAATATGGGCCAGATTCTATGTCATGTAATGGGAACACCATGGTGAATAAGATAGGCCACACATGACCTTTAGCAGTGGTTACACATATAACAGAATAATCAGAAATAAAATAATTACCAATTTCATAAATGTTTTGAGTAAAAGAAATGATGAACTATCATACAGAAAAATGAAGATGAGCGTTAGACAGAGAGGCAAACCACTTTAGTATAAGGTTAAGCCATAAAAAGTTGTTGCTCTTTAAACTGTTTGTGTCCCATAAAATAGTTTTACATAGTTTAACCTAATAGCTGACTTTCTGAGGAATTGATATTTAAGCTGAAACCTGAAGGATGAGGTGGAATTGGCCATGCTGGCTAAGCCTATAATTCAGCATGTTTCAGGAACCAAATGAAAAGAATTGAGAAAAAGAGTGAGTGAAACAAGACAAAAGTAAGAGACAGAAGTAGGGCACATCATATAGGACCTTATGGGAGATTGGATTTGATTTTCATTAAAATGTAAAGCCACTGGAGTTTTTTAAGATCCCTCTGTTTACAGTGTGGGACTAGAATAAAAGGGAGTAAGGGTGGAAAAATGCTATTAAGAGGTTGATGTAAGGAGACAATTTGGTGTTGCCTTATTTGTGCAGAGTTTGGAATCAGACTGCCTTTGGTTAAATCCTGGATATGCCATTTATTAGCCATGTTACTTCATGTTCAAATTTTGAGTTTTACTCGAATTCTCTAAACCTCGGTTTATCTGTCTATGAAACAGAGACAATGATAGGACCAACTTCATAGGTTTGGCCTTGAGATTGAATGAGATAATCCATTGCAAACACTAAGCAGTCCTTGATGGAGAATAAACACTAACTAGGTACTAGAGATTAATAGCCCAAGTGAGAGATAATAATGGCCTGGACTAAGTTGACAGTATATTTGGAGACAAGTGAATGGATATGAGGCCTATTGTGGAGGTTTAAATATCTGGATTTAGTAATGTATTGGATTTGACAGTTGAGGGAAGGATTTTTCAATTATGACTCCTGGACTTCTGTCAAAAGGAGTGGAGAGGGTTGTGTTGCACTTTCCTGAATTGGCGAAAGTCTGTGTGGTACAGATTTTAGTTATATGAATTTCTCTATATATACTATATAAAGCAGGAATGAAATAAAGGAAAAAGGTAAGTATCATACAATGTGAGAGAAAATGGCTATTAAATATTTTAGGGGTCTGTCAGAATCTTACATGAGGTACATGAAACACATTTAGTTTATATTATGTTTATACCACAGTGTCTGTAATATGTAAAATTTTTAAATGTGTATATTGTTTGTTCCCGTGGTATAAGATTTTGGAAATTTCTACTGTGCTATGTGATAGGCAGTGAACAATTAAGCTTATATGTTTCTTTTGTCTTTATATTAAAGTTGATTTGTAATCATTCCATCTGCTTCTCTTACAGAGTGGAGCTTGCTTGATATTTCTCTAGATAAAGAATTTAAGGAGAGCATCTATCTTTGTTCTCTTTGGCAACTGAGAGTCTGCCCTTGGAAACATCAGGCACCATGGGGAAGCGGGATAATCGGGTAGCCTATATGAATCCTATCGCAATGGCCAGATGGAGAGGCCCAACTCAATCTGTGGGCCCAACAATCCAAGATTATCTAAATCGACCCAGGCCCACCTGGGAAGAAGTAAAGAAACAATTAGAAAATAAAAAAACAGGCTCAAAAGCATTAGCTGAATTTGAAGAAAAAATGAATGAAAATTGGAAGAAAGAACTTGAAAAAAGCAGAGAGAAATTATTAAGTGGAAATGAGAGCTCATCTAAAAAAAGAGAAAGAAAGAGAAAGAAAAAAAAGAAATCTTGTCGGTCTTCATCTTCTTCATCAAGCTCTGATTCTTCAAGCAGTTCTTCAGATTCTGAGGATGAGGAAAAGAAACAAGGAAAAAAAAGAAAGAAAAAGAAGAACCGTTCATACAAATCATCCCAAAGCTCTACGTACGAATCAGAATCAGAGAGCAAGGAGTCTGTAAAAAAGAAAAAGAAGTCAAAGGATGAAACAGAGAAGGAAAAGGATATAAGAAGCCTCAGCAAGAAGAGAAAGAAAAGTTATCCTGATGATAAACCTTTATCATCTGAGTCCTCATCTGAATCAGATTTTGAAGAGGATGTGCAAGCAAAAAAGAAGAGAAGGTGTGAAGAGCGAGAACAAGCAAAGGAAAAAGTAAAGAAGAAGAAGAAGAAACAGCACAAGAAACGTAGTAAGAAGAAGAAAAAGAAGTCTGGATCAAGTCACAAGTCAAGATAACATCAAGAAAAAAAGCAAGAATGAGTTTGCCGAGTTTCCCTGTGTTAGTAGAATTATTTCTGGACTTTGAGTTGCCTATCAAATCCCACTGTGCCAGAAAGGGGCATAATGGCTGCTGGCAACTTAAATATACATTTTTCTTTGTTTGCTTGTCCTTCCTTCCAATGGTCAATTCCTCTGAGAGCTAAAATTCTGTTGTCATACCAGTGAATAAAATGTTTGAAATTAAAGTAAAATGTGTTAGATAATGAATAACTTTGACGAAAAAAAAAGTGTATCTAAGGTTAAATGTATTTAATTTGAATACATCTTTGAAATATCATCATAAGTGAAATATAAACGTAATTTCCAGACAATTGTAGTTGGTGTTTTTGATGCAAGGACTTAATATTGATGTCTCAAATACCTTGCTTTTGTAGATAAGTTTAGTTCATTTTACTTTTTTCTTTTATGAATCTTTGTTTACATGGGGAAAGAGCATGTGGGGTGGGAAGGGCAAGTGTTTGCTAATCACTGTGGCTAGCTGAATAGTGTGCCTTTGACTCTTACACATCCTGTTTTTGCCAGAGCAGCAGCCATCCTTTTCTTACTTCATGAAATTCTGGGGTGTTGTATGCTGCTTCAAGTGAACAAGAAGGACAGAAGTTTACAGCATAAGTAAGCCCCCATATCTATGAAATTTACCTCTTCTTCAGCACTGTTTACTATACAGTACTGAATAATATTTAGTATTACAATATTACATGATTTGAAATAACTTTATACCCATTTTGTATGGAAATCATTCTAAACAGACCCTGATGTTTTTTGATTAAGAAATATTCTGAAAATTGTTTTGCATGTTTTATACTGTTAAGTTTTAATTATCTGACCATATTCTATATAACTGGTGATCCTTTTTAAAGATATGATTTATGCTTAGGATATAAGTTTCAAGTTTGTAGTTTCTTAACCTTGCTATATTAATTTCATTACTGTATTTAATTGCACCCTTGCCAAAATAGCATGTGAGAAGGTTTTTTAAAAAAAAATATGTAATGCCTTCATATTGAAGCTGGTTACTGTACGCAAGTTGAGTGCCAGACCTCTAGTACGCCGTGTGTTACATGAAACTACTGCCAAAATCTTAGTAAGATTGTTGTTGAAAAGATTGTTGTCTTAAGCATTAATATTGAATTTATATAGAAGTTAAATGTAGGTGATAATGACATCATTGATCTTCCTGTGTCCATATTTTACTACAATTTGGTGCCTTGTATCTGTTGCTGATTCACTTTTACCACTAGTGTAAAAATAAGTGAAAAAATATTTTTACTTTACATTTTTATATATCAGAGTAACATAAATTATAAATTTGTGTCTCAAAAACCACCTGTGATGGAGGATGTGCTAATTGTAATGTCATAGGTACAAAGTATTTTGGCATGATGAAAGGCTCAATAGCTATTGTTTTTAAATAGCAGATTTTATCTCAGCTACCTTCAATCACAAGTAAAATTATAAGGATAAAAAACATCTGCTACATAAATAACATGTTGGCTTGCCAAATTTTTTGCATTGGAAATACTGGAACCTCTCATTAATGTTCTTGGAACATATAGTGATGCCATGTTAGATCACCTTGGAGCTTCATAACTTTAGCTTTTTCCTAAGAATATATGTTTATGCTGATAAAAACTATTACATTTATGGGATATTTTGTATCCATATAGAGTTTTTCAGAATTGTTCATTAAAATGCTTTTTATAAGCTTATATTATTTGTAGAATATGGCAAAAGCATTTACAGCTCATCGTATATCTATCTGCTCCCATTCACTTCCAAACCTCTTGTAGTTAGGCAATGCCATTTGACTACTTCAAGCAGAGGGATTGTAAACGGAAGTGATTTTCTATTTCTATTTTGGACTGTAAAAAGTTCTGCATGACCCTCCAGTTTTCTTTTGCCTGTCATGGTGACCTGAAAGCAAGATGTTCCAAATGGCATACTTACAAGACGGATGCAACCTGGATCCTTAGGTCGCTATTTAGAAGGGACCTGACTGGAGTGCTGATGGACTTGCAGTACATTTTTTAAATGTAAGAAATAAACTGTTATGTGTGAAACCACTGAGATTTGGGGTCTTTTTATTACTGCAGAATCACCTAACCTAATCTGACCAATAACACAGAACTCTAGAACATCTATTTCATTATTTACGTAAAATATCTCACCTCCTTGTATCACATTCTTCCGTAGTCTACAGATTGACTCAGAAGTGATATTTATGCCATAGTAGAAGGAAATACTCATTTTATTTGCATTGGTTTTTGTGTAATGATTGAGGGAGAGAGTGGTCTACCATATTTCATGCTTATCAGAAATGCTGCCTAGGAAATAAAACTACATTATTCTGTTGATTGCAGTAAAAAAGTTCCAGTAAAGTGTTTGAGAAGGAAATTTTAAAAGTACTTATGAGGACTTGATGAAGAAGAGGAATGGTATTTTTTATATTAATTATAGAACTTATGGCAGAGACAAGTGCTATAGAAATATGGAGGATAATAGACTGAATAGATTTAGTTGAACATTTAATATGTAGCTTCTAAATTAAGAGCAACGTAATTTTGTCCCTATTTGAAAAGCACTAAAGTGGTTATTAGTGATCTGCCTTATGTGATTAGTAAGGAGTATAGCTTTAGCTATAACATTCAACTCGCTTTGGCTATGGAAAGGGCAGCAGTGAGAGAGTAAATAAGAAAGAAGATGGCAGATGGGAAAAATCGATACACTCTAGATTCGCAATTTAATTTTGATCACAAAAGGAATTTGAAACATCTCAGGCTTCAGGTGAAGATTTAGATTGGAGATAAGGAAACAATAAAATTTAGAGTTCTTATTTTTTATCTTGTGACAACTCTCTTGATAATTATAAATTTATTTTGAAGAAAAGTTTCATTTGACATTGCAACATTTCTGTAGTCATTTCTGTTTGGCCCTATTTATTTTACAAAAAAAGACATATTTAATCTGAGATGTAGGTTTGTAACTACATCATGTCTCATGAAAATATAGACAACCATTCAAAATCATCTATGTAATTTAATGTTGAACTGACTTTCTCATTCCTGCCTGAGCTGCAAACAAAGTGTGTTCTTCCATCATATGGCTCTAGCACTTTTTCTTGACTCTTCATACCACTTAAGTTTAATTTGCTTTATATTATGTATTTTGTAGACTTATGGACTCTACGTGTTATGAGCCTCAGCTCTCAGCTCAGCACAAGGTTGAAATTTTCATTCTGCCATTTCTTGACATGTGACCCAAAATAAGTTATTTCACCACCTCCATGACACAATTTCTTCATATACAAAATCAGAGAAAATGGTATTTGTATTAAACCATTTTTGCGTTGCTATAAAGAAATACCCGAGGCTGGGTAATTTGTAAAGAAAAGAGGTTTAATTGATTCACGGTTCTACAGGCTGTACAACGTGGCACCAACATCTGCTCAGCTTCCGGTGAAGGCTTCAGGAAGCTTACACTCATGGTTGACGGCGAAGCAGGAGTAGGCACCTTACATAGTGAGACAGGCAACAAGGGCAAGGGGAGAGGTCCCAGACTTTTAAACAACCAGATCTCTTGTGAACTAACTGAGTGAGAACTCACTTGTCACCTAGGAGATGGTACTAAACCATTCATGAAGGATCAACCCCCATGATCCAATCACCTCCCATTAGGCCCTACCTCCAATATTGGGAATCACTTTTCAGTATGAGATTTGGAGGGTACAGACATCTAAACCGCATCAGTACTTATATCTAGGATTGTTATGAAAATAAGATAAAATAACATTGAAAGTATTTAAACGTTCCTGGCACATAGTAAATGCTCAATAAATGTGTTTTTTTAATCCTCCACCTCCAATTATCATCATTATCACATATGATATAATAACGATGATTTCATTATTATATCACCACCTCCTATGCTGCATTTTAACTTTTTAAAAAGTAGCTCCTGCTTCATCTTTTATCTCTAACAATGATAATACATGGCGTTTTGCGTATGATGGGTGTCTCCTAATTTTCATTAAATTGAATTAGTTGATCAAGACGTGGGAGAAAGAAAACTCTGAATAAATGTAGCGTACTAGATGTTGTGTGTAAGCTCCTTGCCTTACGTTTTACAGCAGTTGAATTGAGATATAATTCATATACCATAAAATTCACCTCTTTAAAGTATACAATTCAATGGTTTTTAGTGTATTTACAAATTAATGGAGACATAATCAGACTTTATAAAAGACATACTAGGGCGATTAAACAGTCACTGCTCCTGCTTTATGGACATATATTTCTGGACCTAAACAAGAATTCCATATAACCACAATGTTAGAACATGTAAATCATCTCAAAAAGAAACTTTGTACCTTTTATCTTCCCTACTCCTACCCCACCCATTCTCTCAAGCCTTAAGCAACAACTGACATACTTTCTGACTCTGTATATTTCCCTCTTGTGGACATTTCATATAAATTGAATTATATAATTATGGTCTTTTGTGACACTTCTTTCACTTGGTATATTTTCAATATTCATCCATTATTTGGTATGTATTAAGAGCATTTATATCAAGATAAAAAGAAAGAAAATCTAATGCAGTCCATAGAATTTCTGCTAGAACCAAGAGAAAAAAAATCTTCCATATTTAAATATGCCAGACATCATTAATCCAACTTGCACTGATTTAAAAATACTGATTATACAGAAGGCTATTGAGAGTTTATACTTCTTGGATGTAAAAATATTCAAATATGAATTAATAGAGAAATTGGGTCAATTTTTATGATAGATACAGGTAACATTAACCCAGCATGAGTATGATTTGTGTTCAGAAACTTGGCAAGTTAAAATTGTTTTAAGGAGAGCACGGATGTGCTTTTTTTCCCTTCAATAAGCTACTACTCTGAATGATTTAGTCAAGAACTCTAGTGTTTTGAAATGTCTTTTCCCAGAAGCTGTTTACAAAGATCAAAGAAACAGATTATCTCCCTTCAAAGAAGTCGTTGTAATCCTTTTTTCCTTTAGTGCCCCCAAATAGCTTTATTACTTAGTATCTCATTTTCAACCCATCCACCCACCGTCCCATCTTCATTCAATTACTTTAACTAAATTTGTTTTTAAGATGTGTCCCATTTACCCGCTACTCAAACCTTCACAGGATTAATTTATCTAGACACTATTCAGATATAATACACAAGAATATATTTTCTCTGTTGTAGTCTCTTTACTGACATAAATATTTTACTAGTACAACAAACATAATACGAAGTAAAGAACCACAGCTAAGGCCCTATTACATCTATTACAAATGAACAGGGGGAAACCAGTGGATGAAATCCACGAGCTAGTGTAACTCAAAATGATCTTAATAATGTTCCAGTACATAAAAATAAGATAAAAATAGAGATAAATGTCAACCAAAAAAATGGAGACTTTACAAAAGACATACTATGGTCATTAAGCAGTTACTACTCCTGCTTGATGGACGTGTATTTCTGGACCTAACCAAGAATCCTATATAAATAATTTCTATAAGTCCAATGGTCTTTTGTAATACCACATAGATCTTTATCTATCATATTCTAGAAGTCATTGCAATCAATTAGCAGGACAAGATTTGGTTATCCCCAATATATAACCATATATGCACATGTATAAACCCTTTAAAAAATTTCTTATAAATATCTGTCATATACCTGCCCAGCCACTGATAGCAGGCTGTAGGCTGTACCAAGAGCATTCCCTGGGAGATTGCATCAATCAGAGATCCAATCATTTAACAGATGGCACACTCCAGATAATTTGAAAAGGGTTTATTTACAAAAGGGCTATTTACAAAGGTGTTGGTAGAGTATAGGAGAACCACAGGGCTAGTGCGGTAACCTTGAGGGTAGTAACAATGAGCTATCACTACTTTTAGACCCAAAGAGACTAAAACTGAGCTGTCATTTAAACAAATAAATACTCTAAGTTCACTTCCTTTCTTTCTTCTGATCTTTTGCCTGCTTCCCCATTAGCCGATCCCAATTGGAAATCAGAAGTCATGGGATCTCATTGATGTTATCTATACAGGTCAGCCTCCTCAGGCACGGGGAAGGTGAAAGAAGGATAGAGAGTGGAGCTGGAGGGGCAAATGAAAGGTATACCCAGGACTGCACACCTTTTTTGCACTTCAGCATTCATTCTTATCCTTCGACTGAGTGAACATTTTATGTCTCCAGCCAAGAAGTTTCATGAAGTCACACAAGTTTCATATCATCTCAAGGTGATGTCAGTTTGATCACACTGCAAGTAAAATATTAGCCACCACTGACATTATTCATTAAAATAGTGGTGGTGTATGGGAAGGTGAGAGGAAAAGGAACATAAAACATAGTGCTACATCTTTCTCTTCTGTAACTGTTCATGAGGCTAAATTGGTTTCCATAGCTACCTTTCCTCTCCATTCCATGCTCCCCTTACCGGCTGCCAGCACCTGGATGGATGAGGTTCTTTACCTACTCGGGTATAACAAACCTTTATTCCTGATGGATCTGAGACTTTGTGGTCCTGCCTTTATTGGGTTGTTGCAGTTTTCAGTTGACAAGGACAATTGGACAAGGGAGTAAATAACAAGAGGTGCCCCAGTGGAGTACTTGGATTCTAAACATAATCCTCTTGCTGTCATTGCGCAGCGACAACCCAATTTTCCCCTAAAAAATACAACCAATTACCTAGTCCGATACAGTGACTTCCTTCTCTGCTTGTTGGTTTAGTGGCATCAGGAGCTCAAAAAAAGGCCATGGGGGTAGTCTCAGCTTCCTACTTATCAAACACGTGATTTTTTTTCCTTTTTTTCTGGTAGAAATATTATTCCATTTTGTACACTAGGATTTCCAAACATACCAAGACCAAGACTGTGAAAACGGAAAAAAAAAATGTTCAAGGAAATTATGAATTGTACTAGTAAGAAGAGCCCCTCCTACCTACCTTTTAATTCTTTGTTATGAAAGAAATTGCACCACTTATTGGCCACATGGTTTAAGCCACATGTTGTATTGTTCAGCATAGCGTCCTA